GTGACATTTCGACTTGAAACTTCGTACAACCAACGTGAAGTTGGCTGTGTTCGACGGACTTTTTCGTATTGCGACTATACGTAGAATAGTCGCAATGCGATATTCCGCAAATTTCTCGTCGGGTATGTATTCTTATTTTCTTCAGTCTTTCCAAGTTCTATTTCTTCTAAGATAATCTGTTATTCTTTGTTTGACAGTACTTGTACTAACATTAAAATCAATCAAATAAGTATTATATATTTTTGGGATAGTGCTAGTATCACATTCATTCGTTTGATTTGGCTTTTCAATAGTAAAATATTTATAGAATTCATTATATGTGGTTAGCATGTGATTGATCGGTTCAAACATTGAGTAGTTGTATATTCTAGTCGGCAGTTCCAGAAATTGAGTGTTTCTTGTTCGATGTCGTGGTGTTCTAAAGTTGATTTTTTCCATGATATACTTTGATGATATTTGGCCAGAGATAACATTGTGTATGAAGCAAATTTGCGCGATTTTTCTTCGTTCTTCTAAGGTAATCATTTGTAGAAACAGCAGACGATTGTTGTATTGTGGCAAGATGAATCTGTGTGACCATTGCATTTTTCTCAGTGCAAACAGTAGAAATTGCTTTTGGACTGATTCGATTCTAGCAATTTTCTCATTGGTGTGTGGGTTCCATATTTGCGATCCGTATTCAATAATAGGTAATACGAATGTGAAGAAGAGTTTCTTTATGGTCCATGGGTCGTTGAACTCTCTTCCAAAACGCTTTATCCACGCAAGTCTAGCTTTGGCTTTAGCAGTTATATACTCGATATGTGCGCTAAAGTTCATTTTTTCATCCAAAATTACTCCAAGGTCCTTTATTATTTTGACTCTGTCAATCAACTTCCCTTCGATAGTGTACTTGAAGTCAAATTTCAGCTCACCACGGTGATATGATACGAAATTCGTTTTTTTAACGTTCAAGTTCATGCGATTACGTTTGAAATAATCAACAACTCTATTTAAGTCATCCTGAAGTGCCAAGCAGTCATCATGTCGCTTTATTTGCATTGAAAAACGAGTGTCATCGGCAAACGATTGTAATTTGGAGTTCATTAGACAATGTGGCAAATCAATGATAAACAGGACAAACAGTGTCGCTCCAATCGGGTATCCCTGACCTGTTCCCGATTTTACTTCGATGGGATTAGACATGGCTCCATTCAATCTTACAATTTGTTGACGTTCACTTAGATATGATTTTATCCATTTTAGTATTTGCTCATTCAATCCCATAATTTTCAACTTGTGTGTGAGCAGTTTCACGTCAACCGAGTCAAACGCTTTAGCAAGGTCGAGATATATTGCATCAGTTTGAGTTCCATGTTGCATGTTGACTAACGTATGTGAAGTAAATTCAGCCAGATTCGTTACTGTTGACCTTCCTTTGACAAAACCATGCTGGCTGTCATCGATGATGTTCCTCATGTGATAATTCAAATGATTTGCTACTATCGAGTCCAACAGTTTTGGTATTATACATTGCAGTGCTACTCCACGATAGTTCTCAATTTTATATTTAGCTCCACTTTTGTGCACAGGTCTTACATAAGAGCGTTTCCATGTGTTCGGTACATAACCAGAATTTAACGATTCACGCAATATGTGTGTTATTGGCTTCAGCAATGTGTGAATGCAGTTTTTGATGAACATATTCGGTATTCCGTCGGGACCAGACACCAAATTGTTTGGCAAATCGTGGATTTTTTCCATAACCAATTCCTCAGTAACATTAATACGTGGGAAGTTCGCACATCGGTCGAATAATATCGGATCATTTTCATCATAGCTTGCTTCGGATCCATCAATCGGTTGTGTATATGCTCTTCCAAAGTGTGTAGCAAATGAATTGGCAATTTCGTTTGGGTCGGTGCATTTGTTGTCATCATATTCCATTTCATTTGGAAGATCGTTATTGGTATTATTGCACGTTCTTACATACTCGAAGAATTTCTGTGGATCCTCATTTATCAATTGTTCCATTTCGAGTTTGTAGTTTCTAAAAGCAGAACGAGATTTCTTCTTATATTCACGACGTAGTTCAGCATGATTTTTTCTCGTTTCATCGGTCGTTTTAAACTTCTTCATTTTGTGCAGTGTATTTACTCTGTTTTTCAAATTGATCAGTTCACTATCGAACCACTTCGGATGAATTTGTTGTTTCTTCGTTTTCGTTTCAACAGTCGTATCAACTGCAGTGTTAACTATTGCGTAAAACTGATCAATTGCATCGTTCAAGTCGATTCCGCTGAAAACATTGTTCCAGTTGGCATTATCGAAAAAATTATTGATCGATGTGTAGTCAGCATGTTTGAAGTCTTTGTATGTAATCACATCATTAGATTTGCTGTCAATTTTATCATGGATGACTACTTCGAGTGCTTGATGGTGTGTTTCATTTTTTGCTATTTTACTTTTGCTCA